AACAACTGCCGAAGAGAACCTACTCAATGTCAGAAGTATCAGTGGCTGGTATTGGTAGCTTCCATGAGGAGCTGATACCTTAAAATAAGGTAGCCTGATAACCGATACCAGGTATCGGTACGTGTCCATCCCTTATGTATAATGTAGCGCACACAGAATAAAAAATTGAGAAATGCCAGTTAAAGTAATTCAAAGTAAAAAAAAAACAAACCCAAAAAATTCAATATTTCTGCAAAGTTTGGCCGAAACACGGATGGGGGATGTCATCTTGTGCGATGTTTAACCTTACATCTTCTCACTTCAAAAACTTTACATCACTTCACAGAGTGAAAAGTGAGCATTGAATAAAACTATTGGTCCAGCGAGTTAGGACTGAAGAGTTGGTGCATGCTATGCAAAAATCAAACTCTGATGGGGAAGTCAGCAGCCACTGGAGATTGTGGGCCGTGGGGGTTCAGTTCCCACTCAGTGATGGTGTGAATGTTTTTCTCTCAATGTGACGTGCGTCAAGGTGAAGTTTCCGTTTTGCCCAAAGTCAGTTGAGATCGGCCCCAGCTCCCGGTGGCCCTTAAGAACACGATAAAGAATGGATGCACACGAAGCAGCGGAAACGTTTCACTTTAAATCCATTGTTCCTTAATTTTGCTTGGATGGTAATCATTGGGGTGGCCCAGTGGTCCAGTGGTTTGCGCGTCGACCTCACAATGCAGAGGTCGACGCGCTCTCCGGCCTCCCTGTGTGGAGTTTGCATGTTCTCCCTGGGCCTGCGTGGGTTTTCTCCGGGTACTCCGGTTTCCTCACACATTCCAAAAACATGCATGGCAGGCTGATTGAACACTCTAAATTGTCTCCAGGTGTGAGTCTGAGCGCGGATGGTTGTTCGTCTCTGTGTGCCCTGCGATTGGCTGGCAACCGTTCAGTGTGTCCCCTGCCTACTGCCCAAAGACGGCTGGGATAGGCTCCAGCACCACCCCCACGACCCTTGTAAGGATAAAGTGGAACGGAAAATGGATGGATGGATGGTAATCACTGGTTTCTTTGCATATTAGCCCACGCTTAGGTGGGTCTCCTCGCACATTGCAAAAAGCATGCATGGTGGGTTGATTGAAGAGTCTAAATTGTTCATAGTGGTGAATGTGGATGTGAAACCACAATGGAAAATGGAAGCATTGATGGATTGCACTTGCAGTATGCTATGAGTTTTCCTCCCTCTTCCTGTGTGTCAAATCAACACGTTCTGTTCCTGAATGGATGATGCATACAGTATGAGTACTACTCTCTGAGCCACACCATAAAGGTGATCCTCTGTTGCAATTTCCTGTGTGTCACCATGACCTTTTGCATTGCCAGTAAGCAGTTTGTTCTTTTGTTTTGTTTTGATTTTTTTTCTAAAATGCTAAGTGTCGCTATTTTTTGTGAGATAGAATAGAATAGAAGATAACAAAGGATGAAAAAAATACAGCAAAACAAAAAGCATTGAACTTCATTGTTCGTTATTATTTGCTGTTACCTGCACAGTCCAAAAATCATATGAATGTGGTAACTTCGAGAACTGTCGGTGGATAGAAACTGGCCACAAGGGGGCGACAGTTCACATAATATTACAGCGCTCTATGTCCCAGGAACAGATGGCTGTGAGAATTGATGGAGGGACAGGGGGTTAAACGAAGGCCATACTGAAAAGGTGATCGTCTCCCCTGAGCTTCACAAGTGAGTTGTGCGTTCCTTTGAAAACACACATCTGAAAGCTTTCAAGCGGGAGGACGTTTGTGATTATTGATTAATGTACGAATCAAGAAGCCGGGATGGTCAAAGATGGGACTAGCATGCAGGTGTATACTTTGAAATATTTTGTTTACAACCCACTTTAGAATGCAGATGCAGCTGTGTGTGTGTGTGTGTGTGTGTGTGTGTGTGTGTGTGTGTGTGTGTGTGTGTGTGTGTGTGTGTGGAATGTTTGCCTGCTTTGCTCTAATCACAGCGTGCACAGTATCCAGGACTACTTTGCACTTTGTAGTCTCAAAAGTCAGTGTGACTGACTGTGACCTAGATTTCTCCTGGGAAGTACTCCATCAGTTCTGACATTTTGTTCGGTTGTTGTCCTTTGGAAATGTGCGTCGACAGTATGTGCATGTCAGTTTTGACGACAGTCGCCGTTTTGCGTTTATAGATATTTAGAAGGGGAGAAAAATGAAGACTTGGTTGGTTTTTCTGAGAAAAAGCGATATCTTGAGAACTGCTGCCCAAACAATTGTAAAGCTAAGGTGGTCACGTTCCATCCGGGCCTCCTCAGTGTTCTGCTGAAATGATTCTTCCGGAGGCCACTGAGTTCTTGTTCTTTCTTTGGATGGAAGACAGATGGGTCAACTGAGTTTGTGGTTCTCCTCTGGAACATGTTGCTTTTGGGTCACAGTGTTTTTGCCAGAAGCACATTTTCAACATCTTTTCATTCATTCCGTCAAACTGAGCTCTAATAACAATGTTACTAACAAACTATAACCACAATGCAATAGTAAGCCAGTGATCATTTTGCAGTGCAGCTGATCATTTTGTTAAATTTGATGTTGTATTAACAATTTATGTTCTTTGGGGGTGGGGAGAGTAATCCATTTTTCAAAACTCTGCTTTCAATTTTTGCCTCCTTATTTTCTGCTTACATCATATTAAAAGCGGCACGTTTTCATAGTCCGTCAAACCTAATCTAATCAGCCCTCAATGTTTTAAGAACTCTCGGCTGAAACTCCAACCTGCTGGTGGCGTGTGAATTCCACAGAATCATAACGTTGCATCGGCACTCCAACTTTCAAGGGCATAGTTTAGTCTGCTTCCATTTTCTCATAGATAAAGTGATCGCCATAAACATTTTGGAGTTGTTTGTGTCTGGGAATGAGGCAGACATAGAGCTGTCTGAAAATAGCACATTGACGCGTCCAAGAAGTCAAAGTGCAAGTCATGAGAGCAGCTCACTGTAGGAGGTCTGGTGGAGCACGAGGTGTACACGGTGGGACAGCACATGCCGTGCACCACAACTTGATGTTCAAAGCCCATGCGTGAGCGGAGCTTGGTATCTGCACCGAGAGTTTGACTGCTGTTCTCATCAGCAACACCCAAGCTCCTTAAGGAAGGCTCTGCTTTCCAGAGGCATGAAGCCAACTGCGTCTTAGCCATTAAAAAATACAAAACAAAAAAAAACTAGTCCGAGCTCCTTACATTTTGGATAAAATGTCACATTCCCTTTCAGATCGATGTGATTCCAATGACAAATTCCTTCAGTCTGAGACCTAAGTTGGGTTTTATAAGACAGTTCCACAGTAGGCTGAATGTCAAGGTCAATATTTTACTGACTGCTGCTTATTTTATGTTAAGAGGCCAAGGCAAACATCGGCCTCATGAAGAGGGTAATGATTTATCTAAAGAGCATGAACGATATGCTCAATTTGACCTGAAATAGGGCTCTGTGCTGTCCATAAGGGTCGGTCGGGAGCAATGCTATGCGGGAGTGTGTATGAGTGTGTTTCGGGCATACAGTATTTTGAAGACGATTGTGTTTAAATGTTTCCACAGTGTTTAGAAGCCTATCGTATGTGAAAACGTAGCATTTAAAGAAACTGACCAGAAAAAAAATGGTGAAGAAAAAAAAAGGGTAAGTTGCTGGAATTCTGTCAGTGGTCGTGTGAAATGTTCTCGTCATTCCTTGAAGGGTTTACTGTCGCTATCGTCTATGTACTGACCAATCAGCGTACTTAGCTTGAAGTGTAATTACTGCTATTAACAATCAAGATTTACTGAAGGGAACAAGCCTATTTTTTCCCATTGCCTCCTGCTACTTTCTCTCTTTCGCCAAGCCCAAGTTGGCCCCATTAAAGCTCGCTGCTTGTTCTCTAGAGAGTGCAGCACTCCAAAGTCTGAAGTCTAATTGGATTCATTTGGACAATAGCTGTGGAGATTTCAACATTATCTATCTATGTACCCATGACGGGAATGTGGCTTCCCATTTGATTTTTTTTTTCCCCTTCTTCTGGCCTGAAGTGCTTTTCTGGTTTTATTAGATTCTCGTCTTACTTATATAGATTAACATTATTTTGTTAAAGTTGAGATCCATTCCGAATTAAAAAAAAGAAAAAAAAAATAGCTTGGATTAACTATGGTATAAATGACTGCCTGAACTTTGCTTTGTGTGTCTGAAGACAGGCAGAGAAGAGACGGAGGCGGAAAGAAATGTGACTTTTTGTTGTCCTACTGAAAAGCGCTGAGGATGCATTGCATTTTACTTCATTCATTCCACCAGCTCTTTTTTTTCCCTTCAGCAATTACAATTCTTAAATTGTAGTATAAACCTTGAGTTTTATTACTCATTGTCCTATCTGGGGCCATTTGAATTTGAGATAAAGGTCGCCGGAGTAATTGCTTTTCTCATTTCTTTGATGTTTTCAGTAACATCAAATGTTATGTTACATTGTTCTCTCCAAAGTCTGTTAGAGGCATTCTCACGTCCACAAATTTTACGCTTTGCATACTTATTATGGGTGTAATTTCTTTTATTTTACATCGGTAACCAACTAAGCACAAAAAAAAAAAAAAAAAAAAAAAAAAAAAAGAAAGAAATCACAATCCGTGACCTTCTAAAAAAACAGGGGTTTCACTCAATGGCTTGATACATCGTGTACAGAGGCCAAGATGTTCCAGGAAGAGAAGCTAAAAAGTTTCTTTGTTTTACAAAGTTAGAACAAATGCACTGTTTATATTTTAGTTTCAAAGCTCTCCAAACTGAGTCTTTGTATCATTCAAAAAGAATAATAATAAAAGCAATTCAGTTACAATCACATGAACTTACAGTAAGTGACTCCAATCTCTCTATCTTGCGCTTACATGTGTTTCCAGTCATGTTTTTCTTAAACTAAAGTCTCATGTATATGACGAGTCAAATTGACCCTGGAATCTGAAGCCATTTCTGGATTGTTAAGGGCTTCACTTGGCTTTCACTAACTTTCTTTTGCCAGATTGATAACCTGTTGGAGCAGTTAAGGGACAAGGACAAGCAGCTGTCTGGGTTAAGGGATCGGGTCCAAGGCCTTCAGACCGATTCCAGCAACACAGACACAGCCCTCGCCACACTGGAGGAGGCCCTGTCTGAGAAGGTACAAGGAAACAGTGTGCAAATATGAATTTAAAATAAAATAGCAAAACACAAAGATGACAGTTGAGGCGTATATGTAACGTTTGCACCTCAACTTAGCTGAGCTGAGGTCAAGAAACAGCATGATGTTGGTGATAATGCTAAAACCAGCTCGTCAGACACTGTGTAGTCACAAAATGTAACCATTAGAACACCAGATGGGTTTTAACGGTCTGGAAACATTTACTCATCAAGGTACACAGATTTCTAAGGCCATTGTTCAATGGCTAAAGCTTCATTAGTTTGCTACTTTTGCCATGACTCATGGTCATCATTTATGGGCATATGCATCCTAATATCTAGACAATGGACCACACAAGAAGATGTGAGAAAACCGAAAGTGCAGCATGGAGGGAGTTTAAGAGAACACTGAATTGGAAATTCATCCTTGTGCAGTGCTTTGGAGGAATCAATCCATCCATCCATCAACTCGTCCTGATAATCTTTTCTCTTTTTGGTTCTCTAAACTAAAAGTTGTCCCAAATCACTACTTTTCAGGAAATTAAAAAAAAAAAAAATCCAGGTATATAGAATAATTTTAATCATATGAAACTGCCAATTTACAGTCATATCAATTGAAATGGCACGGATGTGTTATTGCCACCACTTGTGCACATCAAAATCTGTGTTCCCGCCAAGGCACCATCCACATCAAACTCATTGAATACCTTACAAAACCGAATGACTGGGGTTACATCGGCTTCTCAAACTCTTTTAAAAGGTCTTAGAGAGTGATGCAATATGCAAAAAAATAGTTGACAAAGCAGCGTTATACACAGGAATTAATCTGCATGTAAGTGTACCTTCATGGCTGACCAGTTCCTTCTGTACTTAAATACAACTAGTGTTACTGAAATGTATCTAATTATTTGTACTTATACTATTATTATTATTATTATTATTATTATTTGTATGATTATTTAAAAAAAAAACACCTAGAATTTCAATCTTGAGGCGACATATTGCCGCCCATGCATACGAATCCCCATTTCTTCGATAGTTGAAGTATCCATGAGAGGAAGTCAATTTGTTCCCAAGTTATTTTCAACACTTTGAATTGGTAAATAATGCGTCGAAATAAAAGACCGTCTGCGGACAGACCAATGGTTTCAGTTTGTGAAAAAATACGAAACCCACCATATTTGGTCACAGCTTCCTTAATGCAGAATTCAGCTGTGATGAGAAGAGCACTGGCAAGCTTTTTGTACTTTGGGCGTGCAATGTGTTTCCAGGAGTGATCATGTGTGTTGTTAATCACAAACCTGGTTGCCACAGTCCTGCAGATTTAATTAACATGCTGGGATTTAGTGCCCAGACCAAGCCTGGAGCTCACTCTGCCATTGTTTGTATTTCATGTTGCACTCGCACGCCCGGCGCCACACATCCGTCCTCATTGTGGCGATTTTTTGTTCGTTTTGTTTTGTTTTGTTTTTGTTTTTGTTTTGTTTTGTTTTTCCATCACATCCTGGTCTCCAACCCAAAACACCAAACACTTTTCTGACAGCTCATCATGAGGAAAGCACCCATGGCCCATTAGCCGTTTCCTCGTCTCTTTCGCTCTCTCTCTCTCTCTCTCTCTCTCTCTCTCTCTCTCTCTCTCTTGCTCCTCCAAAAGCTTCTCTGCGTGCATTGCTGTGCCAGGTCGAGTTCGATGGTGTGTTTGTCCAATTTACCCAGGGGTTTAAAAGCTGCCAATCATGCTGCAATGCCACATCGTAAAGGCCCAATTCGGAGTTGCGCCGCGTGCCTAGATAAACACCTGAATAAACACCTTGATAATGGCTTCAGTCCACACAGCTACGATACACACCTTGTATTGCTCTCCCACCCGTGCTGTAGACGTGCAGGGCCAACGCTCAAAGCCGCGCTGCTGTGATTAGAGAACGGGGAGAATTATGATATAAACATTCCATCTTGGTTTATCAGGAGTCAGCGTGGAGTTGTAAGGAAATTATCTCCAGTACTGCGTTATCCATTTTCAATAAATCTGTCTCGATACTGCGTCTCGCTCTGATCTCTCTCTGTCCCAGCTCTTATTTATGGTGGACCTATTTCAGACTTGTTTTTATGAGCTTGGCTGCCCTTTACAAAACACGCTGTTGGGCCAATTCAGTAAGAGGCTACGTTTCATTAACGATAGCGGGGAGCCGAATGGTCACCCAGGACGGACAGTCGTTTGCATTTTGGAAGTGAAATGGTTTATAGCTTTAATGGGAATAAGCACGCAAGTAGATCATATCTTTTAAGGTCTTTACCAGAGTCAATCTCATGCCTCTCAATTTTCCTCACTTCTCAGGAGCGAGTCATCGAGACCTTTCGGGAACAGAAGGAGCGGGCGGACAGGGTTCAACTGGAGGAGTTGGAGCGACTGAGGAAGGACAACCAGGAATTGAAGGACAAGCTGTCAACCCTCCAACCTCAGAAACTGTCCCCCAGCCAGCCTGCGATCGTGGGCCCAAAGCAAGGCCAGAGGCCCGATGGAGAGGTCTGTATGGGGTGAGCGCGCGGAGGAGGAGGGGCGCTTCACAAGTGGAAACGTGAGCATGTGTGTGTTTTTCACAAATGTATATGCTCAGCGGCACCCGAGAGGAGCAAGTGAAACAAATGGTGTTGGGGGAGATAATATTATAAAGTGTCAATGTCAGCGCTGGTCAGTTTGTAAGTCGTTGTTGTACTCATTTTTTATTTTTTTACCATGAGACGAAACCGAAATAATCCAAAAGCAAGAGAACAAATGGGCGAAACGACTTGCTTATTGATTCAAGAACTGTGCACGCTGAAGATTGTGAGTGGTATGAATGTACAGTATGCGGAAAAAGTAACATCAGTGTTCGCACGCACACACGCACACGCACACGCACACACACACACACACACACACACACACACACACACACACACACACACACACACTGTACAGTTCCAGAACACAAATATTAAGAACCGTTTCAAATATATGAAACCAATCCAAAATAAATAACAGTCAAATATATCAAGCAAATGCCTTCACGTTGTATTTTCATTGGAGTTGAAATGGAAAGGTAGTTTCAATAACCTACTTAAATGGCTGGAATCCGCAGATTACCTCTTTTAGCGGTTGACAGTTCTTGCAGACCAGCCAGGTCGAAGAATAGAGAAAAAAAAAAAAAAAAGAAATATTACGTATTCAATGTTCTACGCGCACTCGTTGGCTGGGCTCCTTTAATTACTAACCACGCTCGGATATGCAGCTTTACATGGAGCTTTTTTTTCTGTTGCATGTCTGCCAGCTATCTGAATGAACGTAACTCAAAGTCAGCTCGTGACCAAATATGTGTTTGATGTCTAATCACCACAGTGGCTTCAAAGTACACACATTGTTCACTACTCTGCAGGAACCGGTAAATCCAAATACTGTATTCCTTATTTGTGACAGCATCCAAAATGCATCTTTAATTCCTCTCTGGTACCTCCCTGATAGTATCCACAATAATCTTCGCAACTCAGCATTGACAGGGCGTCCTGCGTGAGATAGATCTTAGGCTGCTGATATTAAAATGAGGTGATTAATGGCGAAATAAAACTCCTTCCATCCCTTATTGGGTGCCAAGTCAGAGTATTTTTCCTCCCATTTCCCTCACACACACCAGCACATACGCTGTCATCTGTCCAGAATTTATGAGCGACTTTTCTTTTATAGTCATAAAAAGCATACACACACATCTCATTCCTGTTAAGAGTTATTGTGGTGAGTGCTGGGCCACAAAAAAAGGGACGGCAGCTCGATAACTCTTTGTAGCCAGCAGATTTACACTGACAGAAGTGTTGCCATAATTGGATTATTTAGTCTCATCCGCAGCTGTTATGTAAACTTGCAAATTCTTCATACGGACTTACGGTGTTGCTGTTTGTGTGAACACGCATGGTCTTCGGTGTCTCGATGAGCTCGTGTGATATTTTTACACACGTACGTACGTGTACGTATGTATGCATGCAGTGTGCATGTATGAACGTGTTTTAGAATGAATTACCATGTGACGAGCATTGAATATTTATTACCCCGGAGGTCAAAAATAATTAAAAAAACATGCTTTCATAGATTAGTGCACATAAAAATGTACACTATTCATACATACGTAAAAAAATAAAATCAAACCCACACCATAAAAGTGCGATATACCACGAATGGCAACAAAGAGGGGAAACATGGCGCGAACCCCAGAAGTCATTTTGGCAGTAGTCCACCTGTGGCGGTTGTCTTATAGCTGTAATAGAGGCAAGATGGCCCCAGATTTTGGTCCTCATGTCGACAGTCGTCTTACTGTGGAATGTTGTGTCGTCGTGTAAAAGCGCACACAGTTGAGGCCCTTCCTGGGTTGTGTGTTCATGGCAAAGCCATCTTAATGCTACACTATGTCATATATCTCTTTTTATGATATTTTGTGGCCGTTTTGCAGGATCTGAAATCGACCATTTTCCTCTTTTCCGTTCAGCTCTGCACGCGACGTTAAGCTTTGGGTTTAAATCAGATCTCATTCCGTAGCTGCCGTGATATTTCTCTGTTGAACATTTAATTGCTTAGCTCCACCTTTTAGGTAACTTCTCAAGCTAGTTGGCACATTAAGAGATGGTTGGAAAAAGTGGTTTTGTATCCACACAACCGTTACCATTTCATTGAAAACAAATGTCTACCACACTTTGCAAAATGTCTTGCCCGTTGAAAAAGGGATCAGTTGACTTTTTTCAATGTAGTTACCTATATTGTAGATCCTGTAATTGAAAACTTTTCTACGATGCTGTGGTAGCAATGCAAATGCTAAATGCAACGAAATAAGAGTTGCCCCTTGTCTGTCTCATTCATGGTGGGTTGTAATCAAGTTTCTTGCTGGTGAATTGCTGACTTACAAAGCAGATGAGATCAAAGCTCACTGAACTTCACTGAAACAAATGTTTTAGTTGAATTTATTCGATTTATTTCATCAAGTGGTTGCAAATAAAACCATCTGGATTTGGACACATTTTCTTAAATAGACTATATATGAATTACGTCTTACAAAATGCATCTGGATTGAGATTATTTTGGTTTGACGAAATAAAATGGAATAAATTCAACACACCACTTTTTTTCAATTCTCAGTGATTATTTCTCTATGTACCAATCCCTTCACTATTTGTATGTTTAATAAAATACGAAGTTCCTTGTAATAGATAAATAATTAGAAATATTGCTTTCATTTGACCCTAGTGTTTAAGAAAAAACCCTCAGCAAGTAAATACTGCAGTTGTGTGAGGCAAATCTCTTAAAGCTGTTGCAGTTTGGTGTTTGCAGATGTTTGGTGTCTGACTCAGTGGAGTTGTTAGCAGAGCTTTTTCATCTCAAATTTGTTTAAAGCACCGCATCCGCTTCCCATGATTTTGTATTTGCTCATCCCGGAGATAGTAAAAGACTTGGGGAAGCAACCGCTATTTTCAAAGAGACAAATATTGAAAGCGGTCGGAAGGAAGGGCTTCCCTCATGGGCTTGTATGAAGTTAAAGACAAAACTGAAACAGTTTCAGTTAGTCTTTAAATAGTTTTCTTTCAATGGATGTAATGGCATTAATGTAAGATGGGCACATCATATTCTTATGCCATCTATGCCAGGGGTCCCCAACCTTTTTTGCCCCACGGACCGGTTTATGTCAGACAATATTTTCAGGGACCGGCATTTAAGGTGTGGCGGAAATAATACAACAAAATAATATGGTATGAGCTGCATGGAAACTGTGGTGTTTTCGAAATATAATAATAAACACAAGGAGCGTCTAATCTGGCCGCAACACTCCGATCGCTATGGTAATGTTTAATGCCTTCAAAATACGATACAACGCAAATTCAAAGTGCATGACAATGACGACTCACCACAGCCCCGAGCTTGATTTTCTGCAACCAGACGGTCCCATCTCGGGGTAATAGGAGACAATGACACCTCAAGTGTGTCCAGTCTACTTCGTAATTTTGTTTTAGTCGCCGTTGCTGCAGAAAACCCCCTCCTCACACAGGTAGCATGTCGGAAATAGCAACAGTGCTACTGTGGCGATCTCAGAATATTCAGCCATAACTTTAATCCAGTTGTCTCGAACGTACTTTTAAGGCCGCCGTCATTTGCGCTCTCCAGCAGTTTTATTACTCATTTTGCGAGCTCTAGCGTTTTGTTTTTAGCGTAATCGGTCACGTGACGAAGAAGCGCGGTTTGACGTGTGTCAAGCGTGACACAGACGAATGTAACGGAGAATCCGGTAATTTTTCAAAATAAAACATCTTTCGTATTCCGAAATAAATAAAACGGAATTAAGGCAAGTTCTTTCTGTGCGGCCCGGTACCAAATGCCCTGCGGACCGGTACCGGTCCGTGGACCGGCGGTTGGGGACCCCTGATCTATGCAACAAGCTATTTTGAAGTGATGACTTTGTTGTCTTGTCATTGGCCCTTCTCGACTTTAGTCAAAGAAAGTTCCAAGTAAGACAAGCTAGTGTAACTTTTTTTTCCCCTCTCCCACTCATTTCACCCTCTAGATGCCAGCCCAAATAGAAGCTCTACCAGCTGTTAGCTCCACGGTAAGTGTCATGCTATTATAACGCTCTTGTGTTGGTTTCCATATTTGACAGGAGAGCAGTCAAAAGCTTCAACAGACTTTCTCATGCTATCAAATGAGAAGGCTTGTTTGACTGCTACTGAATGTGTAGATCACCATTGGTGTAAATCAAAAGACGGGTATTTTTTGACTGTTTGTTTTGGTTTGTGTATTTTTTTTCAGCTAAATTAGCCCTTTCACACTGACCACCAAAGAAAATTTTAACGAAATTAAATAATAAAAATAATTATCAATTAAATAAATAAATACATAAAGAAAAAAGAATGCACTTAGAATCCGTGTGGGCAGAGTCTCTAATGCCTACCCCACGTTGAGCCTCTCCTCTAATTGCACTCTGCAGCCAGGGAAACCTGGTGCTTTCAGCCCAATGTTGAACAGAAAGTGCCATCTAGAGCAGTGTTTTTCAACCTTTTTTGAGCCAGGGCACGTTTTTTACATTGGAAAAATTTTGCGGCACACCACTAACCAAAAATGTGATAAAATGACACTCTGAACAGTGTATTTAATTAAAATATAATTTCTCAGTTTATTTATACTCAATCAGTGTGAAACCTGGGGCTGTTTAAATCAGGGTTTTTCGAACCTTTTTGAAGTTTTTTTCATTGAAAAAAATCTCGCGGCACACCGCTAGCTGAAAATGTGAACCCCTCCCCCCCCCACTTATTTTACCAACTAACATGTTATATTGTTACTATAACCGTTTTTAACATTGAAGAATGACGTTATAACAGCTTGAATTGGAATCTAATGAACACAAAGAAAACAGTATTTTATCATCTTTCATATTTATTGTTTCACTGTCGTCCTGCATTCATGCGTCACAAATTCGCATGTCTCTCGTCGTAACACAAGGCAATTGGCTATCTGTTGCTGCTCCCTAGCGGTATGGGAGGGTACTACATGATTACTTTGTGGGCGAAAGACGGCACAGGCATAAAAATTGGATATTTTCCCGCGGTACACCTGACAATGTCTCGCGGCACACTGGTGTGCCGCGGCACACCGGTTGAAAAACACTGATCTAGAGGAGTCAAAATCTATGACAACTGGTTCATGAAGCATCTTGGCACTTCATTTTACCATCACAATGAAATGATGGACATTTTTTCAAATTCCAAATGCTTCATGTAGAATTTCCAAAGTTTGTCTTCTTAACTTTCTGTGCACCTGATGCATGAACTTGCCACCCCGAAGGCCGCAAACCCAGAGGACACATTGCATAAGTGTCCAGATATTGCAGCTCGCCTGAGGCTTCTTGAGCAAGAAGTGGCTCGCTACAGAGAAGAATCTGGAAAGTCGCAAGCGGAAGTAGCAAGGTTGATGGCGGCGCTGAAAGACGCTGAGGCGGACAGATCTGGCAGAGAGAAGAAAATAAATGATCTTGAGAGGTGAGTGTTTAAAAATAGATACAGATGGCCCCTTCTGGGTGTCCTTAAGGAAGCATCTTTTTGAGTTACTGAATCATTTTGAGTCCTTGATTCCTTCCTAAGTGCTCTACTTAAAAAGGAGCAATCCGCAAGATATAAACTCTCCATTTCTTCCTCATACCTCTGGAAAAATGCTTCCATCCTCATGTTTTCCTGTATGCAAAAGTTTATACAGTCAATTGTCTACATGATTTGCTTTTCATCATGTAACGAAATGTCTGACCAGTTGTGTTTGTGTGGAAATGTTTGCAGCTCTGGTTGAGTATACTTTGTGTTTGGCTGTTACACGCAAAAAAATACTACACCATCAGAATTGCCAACCAGAGTTGTTTAAAATGTATTGCGATACAGAGGGAGAGAGAAACAGATAGACAGACAGACTAATAGATAACTAACTTCATCCCATGTGAGAAATTGCTTTTGCGAGCACCATAATGTTTTTCAAACCTTCCCACTTGACCAGTGTTTGTTAAAATGAAATGTAATATATATCTATATATAGTATATGTTCGACTGGTTAGCTCGTCCACCTCTCAGTGCGATTCCAGGCCCCGGCCTACCTGAATGTTTTCCCCGTACCTTTTGCCATCTAATGGAAGAGCATTTAATTGCTTTTACTGTCACTATGTCAACTATTCATCAAGGATAGATGAACAAAAATACAGTGACCCCTCGCTACTTCGCAGTTCACTTATCGCGGTTGCAGTGCATCGCGGTTTCAGTGCATTGCGGATTTTTCAAAAGCATTCATCAAAAATAAATCAATAAAAAATAGCGAAAATGCCGCAAAAGATCTGCGAGAGGCAGATGATAAAAACACTTTCATTACCAACTCATAAAACAGCAAAGAAAACTGACAATAGATACAGTACCACTGTAGAGCTTACTATGATGTTGTCTTGGTTGTTTTTGTATTTATCGAAATGCTAATTTCTTGTTTTATGGGGACAATTAAATCTTTACAAATACTGTGTAGCACATTTTGAGCTAGTGGGTTTGGTGCCAAATGGGAACAATCAATTGGCTTTTTTTTTTGCAGAAATCTGGGAACATTCCAGAGAAATTACGTATGTTGTTGTACTCTTGTAGTTTTGATTATTTCTGTAGTGATATGGAGACATAACTTTGGAAAATAAATCTGCCTCCCAGTCTGAACATATCCTTGTGACATGGTAAGCACTCTGGTATGTAAGGGAGAGTTTCACTGAAAGGGAGGTTTCTATGCATGTGCATTATACATGTGCATATGGGTGGTTCTCAGTAAGTGGGGTTCAGGAGTGTGACATGAGAGCCCAAATATAAACCTGTTCAAAACCAGGTCAAAATGATATATGCTTTAAAAAAAAATCCTGCAGTGTGCTGTGAATAAATCAAAGTTCACTTACCCCTTTGTTCACCAGAAATTGTTCAATGTTGTGGTACTCCATTGTTTCGTCTTGTAGCGCTTGGCACCTGAGCACCAAGTGTTGAGCACTAATTATTGAAATAATTATTTTTACACTTGATCACTTTCACGATATTCATACAATGATATTCAGTCGAAAAACTGGTGCAAATAACCAATTGGATGTTGAAAATGAATTTAATGGTGAATATTATTACAGCAATGGCCGTCATTTACATAGCGTTACTTTGGAGGCATGGTAGATACCTTCTTTTGATCAGCATATGCTTTGCAAAATGCGCACTGGCTGCAGCTGAATTTTGCATAATCAAACACCTGGCGATGCGAATTCAAGAATACACTACAAAATAGTGCTTGCAACTAGCATAAAAAAAAAAAAATATATATATATATATATATATATATATATATATATATATATTTTTTTTTTTTTTTTTTATTGAACATGCATGATCAATAAAATGATCCCCACACTTGAGACATAGCTTACTTGGGCGTTGTAGGGTTTTATTGATTGATTGATTTATTTATTTTAACGTTTTTAAAAGAATGTGTTAACATTGTATTTGGCAGCAAACCCATTGAAATTCTGGTTCAACTGACTACATTTGTTCCAGTGGATACAGTGAGTTACAGTTGTTTTGTTTTTGTTTTTTTTGTTTTTTTGTGTGTTTGTTTTTTTGGGCCGATGTATTATCAAATTACGGACAGTGTGGGACTTGATTAAATGGTATTGTGTTGCATTGACATTCTGCCAGTTTAGTGGTGTTTTTGAAGCTGATGCATTTTAAATGTTTAAAGAGCTCTTAATTACACAATGTCAGGAAGTGGAAGTGGCTCCGTCGGCTATTTTTCACCACTCAAAATATATTCACACACAAATGACAGCACAAATCTCAGTCAAGTTGTTTATTTAATCCCTGTGTGCAATATTCCAAGCAGTGTACTCTGGTGATTGATTGGAAAGGGGATAAAATAATGGCTCTCGAAGTGAGTCAGTGTTTGACCATGCAGTTGGACCACAATTTCTAAGAACCACCCAGTAAAAGTTTCATCATCGCTTGCCGGTGATGGACAGTATAGCTCAAAACACAGCACGAAATGACATTCTTCAAGTCGTTTTTGTCATTTCCCATTTTCATTTCGGCAACATGTCAGATGGTATTTTAGCTAAGATAAGATGTATAAGTACCATCAAGAATCTATACGTAGAAAACAGTCTTGTCCCATTTGGGTCTTTCAGCACTGCATCAAGACGAATGTCTCAGATAAAACTTCAGCGTGTTGACCCAACTGCCGTACTCTAAACCTTCTGAGTTCATGTTTCCTCCCCTTTTCTTCACCCGTTGTGCGTCATTCCTTTTTGTTTTGTTCCACAGAAAAAAAATGGACATCATTTCGATTATATCTTTCCTCTTTTTACCCAAACTGAGCATCTCTCAGTCAAAATCCCGCTGCTTTCCCCATCTCCTTAAAATCAGAGGCTTTTGTTCCATTTTCAAATTTATTACAAAAAAACCTGAAGGTACTGTAAATCTGAAGCAATTTTAAAGCGAGAAACATTCATTTTATTTTCTGAACATCTTATTCCTACTGATGTTCCTGTTAACCTTTAATATTAGTCCAATTTACGTTCGAGGCATTGGGTTTTTTTGTCTCCCTGTTGGTTTTTTTTTGTGATCAGAGCGCTCAACCCATCCATCCATGCATGTTCACGGATCATTGTACTTCAAACTTATTTTTGCCTTTAATTCCATTGTCCTCTTGTATAATACTATAAATGAGTTTCAATGTTTGCAAACATTGCCTCCAAGATGTGCGCGCATCTTAATGACGTCACTGTTGTTTGCAAAGACAAGCATTCTTAATTGCCTCCTCAGTCCAATTCTCACGTCGTCAAGCTTGTAACCATAACTTTCACCGTTTTTTTGTGAAAGGGGTGTTTACCAGCAGGAATTCTATAAAAGACTCGATCTCTGCGTGTGCTCTTTCCATTCTGACAACCCACGGCACGAGACTATTACGACTCACAAGCGTGTGTTTTCTGCCTCCAAGATGCACGCGCAGCCAGACTTAATGTATGCATACGTCACATGAAAATGATCTATTAGTTCCTAAGCACAGGTTTTTTGGTATGTTGAATACTTGCAATGCACATGACTGAACTTTAAATGTTTTGAACAACTCTACTGACACTTATTTTTTACATTATTTTCAAGCTGCTGTTCTCTCAATGCCTTGCATAAAAATATTCGCACGTATTTTCTGCATGTTTACACAATATAAACCGTCCTGCCGAATTCCAAATGTCTTGTTAATGACTGACAATTATCTTGGCAGGACACTTTTTTTTTTTTTTTTTTGCCAAGGCGCAGTTCAGACCAATTAAATACATTTCAAAACAGAGTATGGGATATGAATGATGGGAAACGTGTTTAAAAAAGATCAAAAACACATCTGCTCTTGGAACATGGAGCAAATTGGAGCTGTTTGTGTTGGAATATGGATGTGTCGAGAGCTCCAGGTGGAAGAAGCACAGGGACATGTGAAAAATGACTTACAAATCTATCAGGTTTCATCCACAGTGCTTTTCTTCACTCTCCCTCGCCAACAACTCTGTCTGTCTTAGAAATTGTGCTTCCCTAAAACATTATTGTCCCTTTCCGATAACGATCACAGTTTAGCACGAGCACATGCAGCCCCGATACTCTTACTCACACTTTTTTACTTCATCAACCTTGCCCGGACGGTTTGACGGCACTGTATTAGCTATCAAAAGACACCAGCGCGTCTGCGGGTTGACACACCTGTGGCGGCAGCTGTGTGAGAGACGATATGCCCTCATGACCAGCTAGTTTTCGGTGGACATGCCTCGGAGCTTAGGCAAACACACGCGGAGACTTTGCAGTATAAACAGGTTCCTTGACTCAACTCCTGTAGATGTCTATGAGGGTCTAACCACAGGTTAAAGGAAACACTGATAGAAATGTGTTATTTTCATGGACAGTAGGAGGAAATGCAAGACTCAGAAACAAAAGACGGTTCCAGAAAACACACTGATTAATAAACCGTGTGGTTTGGTGAGATTCAACTTGTTTATTTTGTCATGCATTCAAGTGAGTAGGATTGCAAAGGAAAGTAATGCACCATGTGATTGAGATTGCGATGTCATTTGGTCAGTAGCCTGATGGCGTGTGGGTATAGAAACTGTATTGTAGTCTTGTCATTCTTGTTGTGAAACTCCTGTCGCTTTGAAAAGTGTGTGTCATGGATTGTTTTGAAGGGTAGGCAGGCAGTCGGCAAATGCAAGTGTATCCCAAAATGTTTGGCAAAAAGATACAAGGTCTATAATCAGACAGCTTCAAAGAGTCAGCGGCGAGAACAAGGAATAGCCGAGACGTGACGACAAAGTACAGCAAACCAGAAACGAGACAGAATACGACACCAGGTTCAGTTTATGAGGCAATTGGGGATAGAAAAGCGCAGCTGAGAAAGGCACAGGTGAGTGCATGACAGAGAAAAGTGGCAAGACAAGCCCCCACACAAACATGACATGCCTTTGTAAAGTCATAGTCTGAACGTGCAGACTGCCATTCTTACAACACACGTTTCCATGCTTCCAAAGAAGGGAAACAAAAAGTATTGGGACACAAGTATTGGGAAAATCTAAACGTCACAGTTATAATAGCTTTCACCCCACCCTGAGATGTTAAGAGTGCGTCTGCGGGACTAGAACGGCACTTGTGAGATCAGGGTGACTCACCGTCACTGTTGGAGTTCATTCTAAAGTGTTTGAAGGAGTTGAGGTCAGAGCGGCCAAGTTCACACTCATCCAACAATAGTTTGGTGTAGAGGATAGACCTGCCCTGGAACAGCTGGAAACTCCAAAAAAAACTCCAAAGCTGGAAACTCCATTTCTAGAATGTATCACTTCTCCGGTTGATGAACTTAACCGCTTCTAAGGCATGTACAGTGAATTTGGAGTGTGTGTGTGTGTGTGTGTGTGTGTGTGTGTGTGTGTGTGTGTGTGTGTGTGTGTGTGTGTGTGTGTGTGTGTGTGTGTGTGTGTGTGTGTGCGCGTGCGTGCGTGTGTGCGTGCGTGCGTGCCAGGTGAGTGTGTGTTCTGTGTTTTCATCTTCTTTTTAAGCATATTTAAATGAATTGCTCACCGACACCACTCACATGTTGGACACACACAAACAACATTTTGGTTGAAATGAAAGCAAATATTTGCTCACATGCGGGGGCAACTTGTAGGGCTGACCCAAAATCAACACGCCGGCATGGATGTGGAATAATAATATGGCGCGTTTTAGCAGCTGCTTGCTCACGGCTTGTTTACAGGGCCGGGGAGTTCTCTTACGCTAATTTGTCACTGTCAGCTTTCTCGCCTTTTCATGTTTCACCCTTGAAATAAAACTTACATGTTTTTAAAACTAGGCCATTGCCTCACATTAATTGAAATGGGATGTGCTTAATTCACTGAATTAAGCAAAGACAGCCAAGCCAAACTTGAAAGGCAATTAGCAAATTCGGTCTCATCAACTTCATTTCTCATTGTGGCTGTCCTGAGGGCGAGGTGGGGTGCGGGATGTCTGTCAGATGTGTATTTTGTGTCTGTGTGTCTTGCAGTTGACAATTTACATGCGTGCCTCGACTCCATCACTCATCTTGCCTGCCATGAGTCACGCATGTGCGGTGTGTTTTGGGCAGTGTGACACATCATTCATGCTATCATTTATCTGCAAAAAAAATGTGTGTGTGTGTGTGTGTGTGTGTGTGTGTGCGTGCGCGCGTGTGTGTGTGTGTGTGTGTGTGTGTGTGCGTGTGTGTGTGTGTGTGTGAATATATATATATGTGTGTATATATATATACACACATATATATATATTCACACACACACACACACACCGTATGTATATGATATATTAATTACCCTTTTCTCTCTCTCAAGGCAAATCAAGTCCCCTCACATCCAAAAACAGACAGTGGAATTCAGGAAAGATGCCCAGCCTGACGGACATCAACATTCTTTATCGCAGGTTCGAAAATATCATTATATCTATAAAAGTGTGTGTGTGCGTGTGTGTGTGTGTGTGTGTGTGTGTGTGTGTGTGTGTGTGTGTGTGTGTGTGTGTGTGTGTCTGTGTGTGTGTTTGTGTGGTTGTAGATTCCTTGGTCTCACAGCTCCCTCCAACATTTCTACTTTGACAAACTGCATGGGGTTTTTTTCGTTTTTTTTTTTTTTTTTACACAAGGCAGTGTTTTTGCCTCCTTCTTGTCACTTTAATTAATTAAATAGACAGACAAAATGTAAAAGTACAGCACACTTAAAAATTACGCCCATTGTGGTCGAACGTGTAAACGTTTTCTTTGAGCACACGCTACTGTGTCGCATTTTTACCATATTTTCTTTGTTTCATTCAATTGTGTGTACTGCATAGTGTTTTCTCAGCAGTCACCCCTATCTTGCTCCCTTTTCACCGCGACTGCTCAACATTTATCTCTGCATTCATGGGGAACACAAAATGCCCAAGGATACGTACACATAAACAGGGCCGCGCCTCCACCTTCCCGCTTCCCATCCATGCAGGAGACTTTATGTGGGATGAAGAGATAACATCTCTCTACTTCATCGTCTCCATCGCACCATACTCCACTTGTGGCCAACGCAGAGAAAACACACTTCCGAAATGTTCACTTTAATCTCTCAAAGTGGCCTTTTATTACTTTTTTACTGTAAGCAGAGATGGGCACTTTACCCTATTTACCTGGGTATCTTTCCGTCATCGTCCCTCTGTCCTTATTCATATAATAATCGTCCCTCGTCCTCGTCCTTTTAAAGCGCTTCCGTCTCTGTCCACCCCCCCCAGAAAAAACAAAGCATCCGTGCATGACGCCGTGGAAGAGAGGCATGGACTGACATATCGCTCCGATCCGGTTCAACAATTGTCTGCTACAGAATGGAAGAGAAAAAGAGAAAGAATATTTACATTCATTTTAGATTTCCAAAGAGTTTATAGCTCCCATGGAATCTTTAGTTGCTGACACTGACGTAATATGCCCTTTCACCTGCCATACAGTGATGCAACATGACAGTCTAAACCCGTAATGTAGGAATCCAAACATCGCTTAATGTGCCAAAACTGCGATCAGTGGTCACCAAAATTTATGTTGACATCTTTACTTAATGCTCACATAGACCTCTGAAAATATTAGAATATATACAGTACTTCCATCAGAGAATATCCTGTTTGTTTCTCAATGGCAAGATGCTGTTGATCAGTTGCTCGATTACATCTCGGTCTCAAGATCTGTGGACAGTGTTATGAATAGGACCGTTTCAATACCAAATCCTGAGAACCAGGACACTGCATTCACATTTGAAGTTCAGAGAAGGTCAAATTTTAGGTTCATCCAAAAATAAAATAGCCCTAATCTTCTGTGAGCAATGTGTACATATGTATACCGTATGTATTAGGGAGTGTTCAGGAGTACACAGCTGCTGGAAGTGTCTCACTCCCTTCTGGTTTTTTGTAATAATTATAATCCCTCCATCCCACCAGAAAGAGCCAGACTCCATAATGACCTTTCCGTGGGGACCTGGGTGATGACTGGTTCTGTAGAGCCAATTATCCATCCATTTTTTTCCCCCCATGCACATCCGTGAAGACTATATACTTGACAGACAGCACTATTCTCTCCTGGCTAATAAAAGTCACATAACACCCATAGGATGTACAGGTATTTGCGTTGACGTACAGGGGCAGCCTCCTGGTAGTTTCGCTGAGGGTCTCAGCAACAGCAGCATCTCAATGGGGGTTTGGGCGAGTGGAGTGGTTTTGTCCAAATGTGTGTGTGTGGGGGGAGGAGGGGTGCGCGTGTGCGTGCACATATCTCTGGTGGGCGGGGTTAGAGGAGCACTTGTTGATTCTGGTGCATCGAATTACTGGCCGTCTGTCACGTCCAATTACAGTGCTGCAGAGCTGACGCACACAGGCTTCCTCTGTGTGTGTGCGCAGGGTTTTGTCGCTCACCTCCAGCTGTGTGGCGCTGACGTGACGAGCAACAAGTTTCCGCTCGTGACTTGCCCCGCTTGGCACCTTTCTCAATGACCTGCAGGGAGAATCCCATTGCTGCTGTCAGTATCACCGTTTGACTTATTTACTTCATTTGGGTGTCCTATGATTTGAGCCTGCACAAGTCCCATACGGCAACTGGGTGTCTAAAAGTGGTTGGAGAAAATGTGACCCTACCCAAGTTTGTCTTGGCTGTGTCTCCATACCCATGTGACCCGATTACCGCACTGCTAGTCTGCAGTGTGAACGTGTGAACTTGAAGGCGAGTCCCCCCGACCCCACAATGAAAGCGGGCGAGAGAAACTGTGGGTTTATTATTTCTGTTCGGTGTTTTCTTTCACAGTTCCATCAGCCAATGTGGAGAGTGATCCTTTTCCGACTCAACACGGGTGTCGTGGAGGCCACACATGCACCCAACATACACACCTGCTCTGCATGTGAATACACACGTTTGTTGTGCATGCCGATATGCAAGTCTGTAAAGTTCATGACACGCTTATAACTTATTTCTAAGTTAGTGTCCTTTTAATAGACACTGTGCACTCACCACTGCTTTGGACGCCATTTCTCTAATGAATTCAGCTTAGTTACCTTACAATCATTTAGTCATCAGTTTACAGTACAAGAAAGTGTTGAATATTTAAAAAATAAAACACTCTCGCCATCATCACTTTCCTTCCAACGTGTTAAAAGAAAATTCTTTTGCCCCTCAGCTTCCTCTCTCAGCTTCCCAGGAGGCCATGCATGAGACAGCTGAGCGGATAGGGCAGTTGGAGAATGCCTTGAGGGAGAGCATGAACACTTCTGCACGTAGGGATGTGCTCTGGGCTCAAGAGGAGACGGCCCACGTTCGGGCTCAGAGACAGGTGTACCTGATACCTTCTGCACACAACCATTCATTCCTTCAAGGACGACATAACTTGCAGTGCAGGCTAACTGATTCAAAAGAGCCCAGAAAGTGTAATATCCACCCTTGTGTGACTAGCGTGTGTAACTGCAGATGGGATGGGGTGAAACCTAATCGGTGACTCCAATAAAGTGAAACCGCCCGACGCAGTTTTCCAAATTTGGCATTAATATGGTTTGCATCCTGTGTGATACCATAATCATGCAATTTGAAATACACTTTGCATGTGTTGAGTTTTTGAGCGTGTCATTAGAAATAATAAATTCACACAAAACACAAGTATTGGGACATGGAGAGGAAAATAAGCAATTGGTCTTCTATTTCTTCAAATCATCATAAAAATAAAATACAAATAATTTGATTAAAATGATTAAAAGCAAGGGTCTAGGTGAGTTGAATGATAATGTGCAGATTTCATGCATAGGTGCATGAGAAATGTTTTTTTTTTCATCCGTATTTGAAAGTGTCTGTGTTTGAATGTTTGATATCCATTGGCAGTTTGCTCCACTTTTTTTGCAGCACAACAGCTAAATGCTGCCTCACCATGTTTGGTATAGACCAGGGGTGTCAAACTCCGGTCCTGGAGGGCCGGTGTCCTGCATGTTTTCCAAGTCTCCCTGTTGCAACACACCTGATTCAAATGAACAGGTTCAATGTCAGGCTTGCGCAGAGCTTGCTGATGATCTGATCATTTGAATCAGGTGTGTTGCAACAGGGAGACTTGGAAAACATGCAGGACACCGGCCCTCCAGGACCGGAATTTGACACCCCTGGTATAGACCCTGGTCTGGACTAGTGGAACTCAGTCTTTGGACCCGAGAGCCCTGCCAAGTTTATAGTCTCTGAACATATCACAGATGTATTGTTGGCCCAACCCGTTTTGGAATTCATAAACGTTAAGTGCCGTTTTAAAATCGACAAAGTATTTTGTGACTGACTGAATGCCAACTTTACAAATGGTGTGATGTTTAGGATCTCTTTCTTCGTCCTGGCTAAAACTCTAACTCCAGCATTCTGGATACGCTGCAGCTGTTTAATGCTCTTTTGGGGAAGTTCTGCTCAAAGGCCATTACAGTAATCCAGTCTACGAATGATGAACGCATGGGTGACTTTCTTCTGGTCTTCCTGGAGGACAAAAACATTAAATTGTTGTTGTTTCTGAGTTGGTGAACCGCTGCTTTGGTGATAGTGTTGGTGATAGCATTGGTGTAAAGATTTTTGTATTCTCTAATTTTGGTCGTTTAAAAAAAAAAAAAATCATCTAACCTGATGAAGCCAAAGACCAGCATTGAACAAGTATCTCGCTCAAATGGTGAATCTATCAATATACTCTGTAAACTTTAAATTGTCTTGTTTATTGAGTTTCTCCCAACCAGCTGTTCAATTAAAGAATCCAAGCAAACAAGGTCATGGGTGTTGTACGCGTGGGCCTGCTCACCTTCTTCTCTGTGTTTCGGGTAATTGAGGCCATGTCTCAATTTCATCCACACTAAACTCAAACTCATATGCCGTTTAGGCTCATCTTGCTTTGTGCCCTGGGAAATAGTCCCGCTGGAAGAGAAAAGGGCCTAACCCAAACTCTTCTAACAAAGCTGGAAGTATGCAATTTTTTAGAGTAGCTTGTGTAGATGAAGAATTGTGTCGAATCAAGGATCTACACCCCAAATGTACAATATTCATCATTTTATTAAAATATGTGTCCCAGGACTTCTGTCTTTGTAATGTCGTTACAGATCCAAAAAACTGCATGTTCTGCAATTTTTGTGATTGATGGCTGGTTAGTTGGTAAGCGCCTTAAAGTGTGTTTTGCAGATGTGTCTGCACGGCTGCATGTCTGCTGCGAAGTCAAGAAATGGGTTGAACGAGTGTGTTCCCCCCTTTGTGTGTGTGTGAGTGTGCGAGCATTTGAATGCGAATGACCTCACATTAGTTATAAGTGCCATAAGAAAGACGGGAGCCACCAGCGGTTTCAACTACAACGAACATTTTTGTGGTGGAGTTGAATACCTCTTTGCTCACAAAACAGAGAAAGACAAACACTGACAAAGAAAAGTATGGGTGGTTGAAGCAGAAAAAAAGGTCGAACTCAGTTTATAAAACCCCAGAGTAGTTCATACTTAATTTCCAGTCAGTATCTGTGACACTAGGCCTTGAATGACTCCAATAACATACCATAATATACGTTTATTCTCAAAGTTTCGTGGGCGAGGGCTCAGGACATTTACACATAATAACAAAGGACAAAAGCAACATCATGTTAGAATCTGCATGCAAACAAAGTTGATGTCAAGTGAGAATAAACATCTTCCGAATTTGACACACTGCAGGAAAGTGGTGTTATTAACCCTGCCGAATTTGAAAGATTAAAAAAAACAAAAACAAACGGAGGCTTCAAAATTGCTCTCAAATGCTGAGGCCGTCTCCTCTGACCGCATGGAAAGCCCCACAACAGGAGGCACTAGATCTCAGCTAGCTAACAAGCTAGCTGAGATCTGGTGATTTAGAAGTGAGCTGGTTCCAAATTGTGTGGACCATAGCCCACGATTCTTAGACTGATCGTTTAAAGCCTTTGTGTTTCCTATTTCATTTATACCTGGTGTTGTGTGCAGCTAGCGAATTACTAAAATCACACAGTTTGGGATTTAACTGCTTGATTGATTGGTCCAGTGTATGTGCATTTTGATGTTGAGTTTTTTTTTTTTTTTTTTTTTATTGCCTGTGAATATGACTGTTCTGGTTGCATTTCACCTCTCGTCGGAGCAGGCTTCATCAGGTCGTGCAACAGGGCTTAGGACAGCACTAGTCAACATCTGAATACAATGTTATTCTAATGAGCTTTCTTGACAGGTGGGAACAAAAGTGATAAATACGGTGGTGGGACTTTCAATTGCACCAAGTCATTTTTTCCACCATGGGAAGTGAGAAAAGGCCTCCCAAATAATTGGGCGCCTACATGCAGAGAACATACTGAGCCATTGTGCTGTCATGCTGGTGAATGGACTTGATGCATACTGAGCTAGAATCGAGCAGTCATGTTGTCCGCCCAACAAAAGATAACCATTTGGCCGTGATGCTCGCTGCTGTCAACGCGTTCAACACTGTGAGTCTGCATGACATCATGCACGCAAGATGGAGGCTACTAAGCATGCAGTTCCACTGTGACCCGGACTTAGGAGAAAAGAAAAAAAAAACTCACTTTGTAATGGGTCAGTAAAACATCACCTGATCTTGGCACCATTCCCGGCATTCTCACATTTGGCCCCCTTGAAATGTTCTTTCTTCTTTCTCCTCTGTGTCTCAAAGTAATCAGTCTCATGATGTGTAATGCGGTGAAAGTCTTCCATCAGCCTGACTGGCTGAAATGGAGCATGGGTAATGCTCTGGGTGCCTTTTCTTCACATTGTCAATGGAGCCTCGGCAAGTCTCTTGTGGCCATCATCGGGGGCCTCCTTCTCACCCATCGGCCTTCTCAACTCGTTTGGCCCAATTATCTCCACACATTTTTTTCTCTCTGGCCTTGTCCCACTATCCGTCCAAATCTCTTGCAGCCCTCACGCCTACGTGGCATTTGAACTGGGCCTTTGAACCGTCAACACCGGCGCAAATGGACAAGGGGGATTTGGCCCTTACCTCTGAGCCCTCAATCAGCTTAGCCAGTCTTAGTAAGCCTTAGCCAGGCTGTGAGGCTTTCCCTTGAAGTTGAGTTAAATTAGCACGCACAGGCTTGTCGCTAAAGCTGATTAGGACCTTAATTTCACTAAAACGCATTGTATTCCTTATTAATGATGTGATTGTGACACGAGGGCTAGTCTGGGTGGGTGGTGGACCAATGTTGGGCTGACAGATCCATATGTGACGTGGGTGACCCGTAATAGAGTTTAGCTTTTCAAACAAAACATCAAACAATGAAAATAATTCCAAGCTAGCCATTGATCACCACCCCCACTGATCATGTGCTGGGAGACTTTGATGTGGTTTGAGACATTTGGATGTGTTGTTTTATGGCTGAATTAGCTGTTGGACGATTATGAGGTTAATTGTTGTTGCCAAAGATGTTCGGTCTAGTTAGTTTGATAGAAATGCTTCAGTGCATTTCCAGACCGCTGTGAATCAAAACTGCATTTCAAAGTTGCGTACTCCGCAGCGTTAAGCGGCCGACTGAGCAGACTGTCGAACATCTGTGAAACACACCTACCAAACAGGCGGCGACGGAGAGCGTCCTGAAAATGTGCGAACGATTTGGCCCCATCATAAAAGAGGCCCGTTGCCTCTTTTATGTCCCACCCCATGGAGTGCTTTGCACTTCTTTCATTTCCATTTCCCTTCCTTTATGTTTGCTCAAACAATAATTTGTCTGATCTGTCTTATCACGAAAATCTACACATTGTCACAATTGAAAAAAGATTCATTGTTTTTGGCGTTTTCCAATCACGTCATCATAATGAGCCCGACTGCTACGATGCCGCATCCTTTCGAAGAGTGCTCGCTGTCAGACAATTACATACTTCCCTGTGTGCGGATAATGATGCCCCGAGGTCACATCCTGCCTGTGAGACGCTCAGGTGGGACAAGTGGGCCCGAATGGTTGGAGGGCATATGTGTTCATTGATCTCACCTGCACTCAAGTAGACAAACACACCCGCGTGTAAAAAAATTAGCGAGCCAATAGAAAGAGGAAGAAAGAGAAGACTTTGCCGCGACAACAGCAGACTCCGGTCATTTGACCTGCCCCTCATTTTCAAGCAGCCATACATTCCATTCATTCATTTCACCTAATTTTAGCCTTCCTTCTGACCGGCAGAATTAGCTATACCTGCACAATCGAGAGGGGAAAAAAAAAGCCAATGCAACATCTCTATTGTACACGCAGTATTAATTAAACAGTATGCAAATGATTGCGATTAATTTAGCGCCTTGCCAGGGTTATCTTTTCCAATGCTGAATTTGATATATGCATCTCATTACTCTGTACAGGTGTAGCTCATGTTGTAGCTGATTGGTGAATTTGAAATACCTCTAAACATACATTGCAGTATAAATATGCCCAAGCATTGTCTCTCTTATGTGGCATGGTTCCATCCTGTTTATACCAAAAGTATGTCTCCCCTTGACTAGCTGGAAGAGCTGATGGGGACCCTGGAGAAGACCCGGCAGGAACTGGACACGACAAAATTGCACCTGTCCTCCACTCAGCACTCCTTGCATGAGCGAGACAGACATCTCAACAGCCTGCGCCAGGAAAGACGAAAACAGCTGGAAGAAATTCTGGAAATGAAGTTAGTTTCACACTGTCTTTCTACCTACCCGTCTACCTATCGACTAACCTGTTTCAATTATTTTGAGTTGTGAATTGGCTTTTAAAAAGGCAAATCAAGTTTTTCTGTTGGCTTCGCTTTTGCCCACTGTCATACTTTTTGTTGAAAAAAAAACAATGTGTGGTGAAGTCAGCGACGTGTCAGTGGGGGAAATGCACGTGCGTTTGTTTTCTCGGATCAGGTAGAAGGTGCCTGTCGCTGGAAATGTGGTCATCAGAAAAGTAATTTTGTCATCCAAAAAGGTAGCACACATATTTATTGGAAACTTTCTGTCCATTCTGTCTTGCGACGAGAACGAGCCTGTACGTTTGTCTCTGTAGACAGCAGCTGGAATTGGAGGGTAACCATGCTTGTGCTAAACACACACACACACACACACACACACACACACACACACACACACACACACACACACACACACACACACACATACACACACACACAACTATCTTGCTATCTGTTCAAACCGCCCCCCCCCGCCCCCAGCTAAGCAATGGTTTCCAGCAGGACAAATGTGTTACATCTGAGACAGTCGCAAGCTGTCCCTCTTTTTAGATGTGAAATTGCAACCACACTCACAGAACATTGCCTTGTCTGAATTATTCTTGTATAGTCTGCTGGCACTAGTCTTAAATCATTATTATATCACCACGACAGAGATATTTGAGGAAGAAAGTTAGTGTGATGGTTGGCTGACATAAACAGCAAAATTACATGTGCTGTTTGTGTGCAGTTCCTTGGACTGGATGCAAGTCTACACTGACACAAGCTAATGGAGAGAGCATCATTGTGTGTGTGTGTGTGTGTGTGTGTGTGTGTGTGTGTGTGTGTGTGTGTGTGTGTGTGTGTGTGTGGTCTTAGAGCAGTCACTGCAGTGTGCATGAGGAGGTCAGAAGCATAGGTTTGGGGTCACCGATGATACGGATTAAAGGACTGTTGAACTGTTGAGTGGGGCGAAGCTTTGAGAGACTCGCTTGCATCTTACCAAGCCTCAGAGATACATATGCCGAATGTGCGCTCACACGCTTGCGTATGCTCACTCTCTTGTAACAACTGTACACACACACACACACACACACACACACACACACACACACACACACACACACACACACACATACACACACTATATTCTCACAGCACGGCTCTGGTTCAACTTAGCACAGACGCAAGCAAGCAGGCCAGATCGGGTAGAGAATGTGAAGTAAGGAGAGAACGTGAGCTATGGCGTCGCAGAAGTTGGGCTTGGTCTGCACACACTGAAGCATTTAAATCCTAGAAAGGAAGAGAGCTTGCGTGTTTGTCAATTTTATCTTTCTTTTGTCTTTCAGATGTTGTGTGGCATTCGTAAAAATATAATTAAAAAATAAAGAGCAGTTGCAGAAAACTCTTGACAGTGTGTGTGGGTGTGGCAGTAGGCTTCAGTGTTGTTAATGAAACAGACTAATGTTTCACTCTGTGTGTGTGTGTGTGTGTGTGTGTGTGTGTGTGTGTGTTTACAGTGTGGGTTTGCGCTTCTTTTTTTTTTTTTTTGTGTGTGTGTGTGTGTGTGCGTGTGTGTGTGTGTGTGTGTGTGCACTAGTGCACTAGTAATTAAATGCATTGACAATTGGGGTGGCGGCCGAGTGGGATCATTTGGCACCAGGGTCCAGAATAAGTTGGAGCAAAAGTGAATTGTTCTTTCTCGTATATGAAGCACATCTGCAGCCTATTTCATTTTTAAAGTGGCCACTTGCTCCCGTACGTCCATGTCACACCCCACTTGTTTCATAATAAGAAGTGGCACAAGTTTGAAGCATGACGCCAGACACTGTACATCAAAGTGGGCAGACATTGTGTGAGTCTTAGAAAAAAAAAAGAGGCATCTATCACACTTACATGTGTCAGAGGACAGAATAATTACAAGGAGACGCACAAGAAGATGTAGGGAGGAAATAGTAAATGATGTGAAAAAAGACGATAGATTGAGGGAGTGATTGATGGAGAGGGTGGGTGTTGGGGAAAAGGAGTATGGGAATGATGGAAGGAGTAGGAGTGATAGAAGAAAGACAAGCGAAAACAATGAGTGGAGCTGCGAATGACATGGGGGGAAGCACTGTTTGGTGTTTCTGTGCGTGCACTATGTACAGCTATACCAATAAACATTCCGCTACATCAAACTTTGGAAAAACACTTTGAGAGAGTTCTTCAGCACTGCTGAGCAGATCAAGGAGGAGTGCTGACATTTGTATACAGTATCCTCTTTGGCAGACCTTGACGAAAATTACTTTCCAACAGTATCACTCACATTTAGTCACAAAAAAAAAAAAAAAATCTTTATGGACATACGTACAACATCAAATGATGGGAGTGGTGTAAAAATTTAGCTCCATTTTGAGTGTCAATGTCCAAACATCTTGGTTCTTATTCAGCACAGTACAAAGTAGGGTAGAACCTCAAGTTACAAACTTGACTGGTTCTGTGAGCCCGTTTGTATCTCTAAATGTTCATAAATCAAAGTAATGTTTCCCATTGAAAGGATTGCAAATGGATTTAATCCGCTCCAGCCCTGAAACTAATGTATACATACCCCCTCCTTTTTTTGAAAGCAGTGTGTAGCTAAAATAAATATAATATAATATTAAAAAAATATTGAAACACACTTATTAAGAACTGTAACACTTAGAATATGACTATTATTGCTCATAATTTTAACCAAGGATGGAAAAAGTGGAGAAGGACAACGGTTCCTCCATTGAAAAATTGAAAAGGAGCCTTCTTCCACAAAAACATGCAAGTGTTTTTTTCTTGGTCTCTTTCTTGTATTATCGATTGGTTGATTATGGCATACAGATCAGAGAATGTGTGCGAAAAAAAAGGCGTTCAAAGTCAAGGTTTCACTGTATTAGAAAAACATCCCAGACTAGATTTTGTGGGGAGTTGTACCTGATGTTTTCATTTGGTAAATTATTGGCCTTTTTTAGACTTTAAAAAAAAAAAAATTGTCTTTTCTTGGACGTCTAACATTAAAAAAGAAACGTGTCATATCTGCTTAGAAAAAAACAAAAACAAAAGAAAATCCTTATGTCTTAACCCTAGTTGTGATTTCCCCAAATCCCAGTGTCACATTTTTGATTTGGACTCCTTTCTCTGTCCAACAAATTTGCCGCTCTGACCTGTTGTTGGCAAGTGAGAGCAACCCATGGCATAATAAAGCTTAGAGCAATAGCGACATTATGACTTTCAAATCCCCGACGTAGACATCCTGTCTCCGTAGAGCAATCGCCATGGTTACGGTGCCAAAACACTCAAGAGTCCAGCTGTAGAGTCAAGGTCATGTCCCTGCTTACTGATCTGTCTGCAGGGCCGAGACGTTCTAACTGCAGTCTCAAGTACACCGTGAAATAATGGAAAAAGTGCACACATTTTACAATGCACACACAAAACACAAAGTTTGCTGTTTTCTGCGGCATTGTGTTCCCTTAAAGCAATTTTGTAAGGAGTCGCTCCAACCTGCCAAAGCTGACGCACAGTACACAGACAAGAACACGCACAGACGACGCTTTGTATGAGCGCATTGACGCAGACATAGCAATTGACACGTGCACAAGTACGGTGTTCAAGTGTGATTGTTGTGTTAAGGCAACGATGAGACATTGAAAGTGGTTGAAAGGGATTCTCTGTGCTACAGTGATGAGGTGGAGCTGACCACACATCACCTTCCTCTTCCTGAGCAGGTTTGTGTGCGTGTCGCCTCGTGGGAACTCTGGGCCATTCATCATGTCTGTCTGTGCTCCTGTGCCCTCTGACACCCGTGTTTACCTTCGACATGTGTGTCGGCTGTCAGCTTGCTAGGTGTGTTATTATGTCAGGGCCGCCCTCCTTGGCTAAATCCTCCATTTGGTCAGTGGGGGGCCAGATCACCGCAGGAATTTTAGAGATAAATGGAAAGAGAAAAGAGAACATTGGGTGGGGGCAAAAAAAGTGGAGTGAAATGAGGATATATCCAGCAGCTAGCTCTTTGGAAGCAGTACAGCCCATACAGGTGCTTAATAAATTTGCTAGGCTGCCAGCTGATGTAGGATTTATATAGTGGCGGGCCGGGTATTTGCCTTCAGTGGGGACAGTTGCATGTACGTTTCATCAGCGGTATCTAATGGCACGATATCAAAACATAAACAATGTGAGTTAGTACATCATACTCACCGGGGATGCAGACTCTTACAGTTGTGCTTTGCTCGTTGAAATTGTCTCTAAAAAGTTTTGCTCAACCAACTAATCAGAAGAGGGGAATTCGACATCATCGTCATGGCCCTGCAAGGACAAATTTGAAGTCTGATTGGCTCAAGAAACTTTTAAAATTACATCATTTTAAGTGACATCACTTTGAGGGCCTTGGGCAAATGAGAAAGACATGACAGCACTTACAGTCGGAAATGTGACTGGATAAAATATCAAGCGTCCATATATGGTTACATACTGTGTTGGTGTCAAATTCAAGCCCAAATTGATTAAGCGACTTCTTGATTCTTGTTAAAATTCCAAAATGCAAATTGTGTTCATTTTTGATAACATTGAGGTATTGCAAACTAATTTTTGTTCCCTTTTAAAATAATTGAACAAACGTTTTTTTTTTTGTTTGTTTTTTTTTTGTTTGTTTGTTTTGTTTTTGCTGGCTTCTGATTTCAAAACTAGTTATCCATCAGTTTGTTGTGTACATGTGATAATATGAGGCACACATTTATATGTGTTCACTGTAATAATGGCCCTCTGAGGAAAATCATAACTGCAATATGGCCTGGGACAAAAATTAGTGTGACATCCCTGATGACTTGAAGCCAAGAGAATCGCGATGAATTGAAGATTACAATCTGTTAGGAATAAACTAATGGAAGAAATATTAGCCTCAAGTTGTAAATTTCCCAACAGATGGACCGACAGGCAGACGAATGTTTTTATTTTTTATTATTATTATTTTTTTT